AAATAATATTGAAATAAAAAGTAATATTCTATGATTTTTTTTAATTTAATTTAAATTATAGATTATATTATAATTTTTTGATGCAATATCATTATCTAATTATAAATATTTTCTTTTAATTCAGGATATTTTAATAACTTTTTTTTATTAATTCATCAAATATAGAATAAAATATGCATTAATTTTTCTTTTTTATTATATTAATCTCTTATTTATTTTAGCTTAATATTAAAAGTAGTAGTTATTATATAAATATTATAACTTGAATACTTCTTAAAATAAGTTATAATATTGAATTTTTTATGTATATTTCATTGCTATCTTTTTTTTTTAGTAATTCAAACATGCTTAATATTTTTATTTATATATGATATTTTTAATCATATAAAATAAAGATAAATTAGCAAATAAATTAAAATATTTGATATCATATTTTTTATTTTTATATAAGTAAATATATTCTTATTACATAATATCATCTTGCTATAGTACTCTTTCTCATGAATAATATCTGAAGAAGTACTATTTAAAAAATTTTGTAATTTCTTGAATGGTATTCTGGGTACTGTAGTCAGTGCTCTATGATATTAAATTTTTAATAATTATTAATATTATACATATATAAAATAAATAAGTAGTATTATATATTAAAATTATTAATATTAACTAATTATAATCCAAAAATATTTTAATTGCTTAAAATTAATAAAATATAAATCTTGAAATTTTAAACAATTTGACTCAATAATCATTTTTAATAAAAATTTATTATATTTATAATATCAACTTCAAATTAGCATTTCTAATGAGATATAAATTTATTAAAGCTACAAACTTTAAATTTAGTTTTTAAATATTTTATATTTGAGTATTTATGCAGTTTTATAATTTCTTTTCAAATAATATTCATAATTGCTAAGAATTTATTATCTTATTATAGGATAATATTTTTAATAAATTTACATATTACTCTCATCAAGTGACTATGCTTGGGAATATCTCTTATTTAAGAATAATAAAAATGATTTAAAACAATCCTATAAATAGAATTAATTTTAAAAATAATCTAAATCATTAAGTACTTCATTCAAATATAAATAGTTATATAATTAATCATTTAAATAAAAAAATTATAATATATTATTCTTACACATATACTAATATAGCTAATCAAATTATTTTAAGTTTAGTCTTCAATAACAGATTATTTTCAGGTTATATGAAGCTTTTCAGGTGGAATTTTTTCTTCTGCTTGATTCTTTATATTTTGAGAGTCTATAAATGTAAATTTTCCATTAGTCTCTATTTTCTTTCTTATATCTGATATATTTTATAGTTGTTGACAGAAGTCACTATTTGTTAAAAGCTTCAATGGAATTATGTTTTATTCACATCAAAAAAATGCTCAAACAGTTGATATTATTATATTAGTACCAAATATTAGGTCATGTAATCATAACTTTGTCATGGCAGTAATGATATTAGATCATATAATTATAATTTTATCATGATAGTAGCAATATTAGGATGCATAATTATAACTGATCCAGAGCTTATTCATTGATCTGCAAGTTTCTACTAGTATATAATAATAATAGAACTCAGATATTTGACTAATGCATGTATTATTAAGCTATGTACTTAATTTAATTTGACGAAAGATCTAGTAATATAATTTTTATGAATTCTTACTAGAAGAATATGTTTCTAAGTAAATAATACTCCTTAATAATAGCTACAATTGGTATAATATATTTTATATTGATAATTAAAGTTTGTTAAGTTATATTGAATTTATTAAAATTTAATTCTGAATTAATAAATTTTATGCAGCTCATAGTATATAATATACAGTGGTGGTGGAAAAAAGTGACAATTCTTTTCATTTTAGAAATTATGCTACCAGATCTTTTTTTACATTACAGTAATACTAAAATCAGTTACAGGTATGTTTATTATGTGATTTAAGATGGGTAAAAAATATTTTTATCATTATTATCATTACACATGAGTTTTCTCACAAGGAAACGTTTTCTTGTCAAGTTGTTATAAGAATGTGAATATAGAGAAGTCATCAAACTTTGAAGAATAACTGAATTTCCTACCAAAATATTATACAGATGGACTGCTAAGCTTGCCAAAACAAATAATCTAAAGCAAGGTCAACATTCAGGTCATCCAAAAAAACTTAGTCTTGGACAATAGAAACATCTTGGGCAAATTACGACTAAAAAAAAAGTATAATAAGCAAGGAGATAGTGGAGACTCTCAATAATACTTATTCCAGTTTAAATATAGCACCACAGACAGTTTGGCAAAATCTACAAGAACTTAGATTTAAGATTTGTATTTCACGAAAGATTTCTTTTCTTACAAAATTAGTAAAACAATATTAGCTTATCTAGACAAAAAAATATCAAAAAAAATGATGGAATACTACAATTTTCTTTGATGAATCCATCTTTCAAATATTTCAAAATATGGTTCAGGTTCATTATAAAGCTAGATAACCAATGCCAACTTAAGGAATTGTGAAATATCCATTTAAAGTGCATGTGTGGAGAGCATTCTGCATGAAGAGAATTATTAGATTTAAAACTTTTGTAAAAATTATAAATGGTGAATTATATCATGAAATACTGACTGAAAATTTATTTGAGCAAGCAAATTGGATTCTTGGTGACAAGTGGATATTTCAACAAGACAATGACCCTAAGCATCATGCTAAGCTTACGACCATTTTATTAAATGATCAGTATCCCCATGTACTTGATTGGCCATCATACTCACCAGATCTCAATTTGATTGAGAACTTGTGATCAATTATGAAAAAAAGGATGGAGAAAAGGGTTAACTTGATGATTTATAAAAAAAATCTGTATCACAAGAGATTTTTATTAGAATAATAGAGGAGGAGTGGGAAAAAATTGATATGGGATTATGTCAAAAATTAGTACGATCAATGTCAAAATGCCTTGAGCTAGTTATAGATAATAAAGAGTGTGAAACAAAGTATTAGAAATCAAAGTATGTACTATAGACTAGTTATAGTTAATTTTTGAGATTTTTTAATAAAAATTGCACAAATTAAATCATATCATTTGATTGTTATTTTTTTCTGCCACCACTGTACATGTAGATGTACAAATATAACACATATGAATGTTATTTCAAAAATCAGGTTTTAAAATAGACTATTGTCTCGAAATAACACACATGTGCATACAGTGGCGTACAAAAGTATTGCATCACCCAGACGATAAATTTCACATTTCATATACATCAATCAATATATAAATAGGCTCATTTTAATTTAGATCATATTTATTTTTCATGTTGTACATTTAATCATATTTTACATCAAATCAAGCGATAAAATTGAAATTACTCAATAAATTAAATAAATTTATGAAAATTTAACCATCAATTTTAAATACTACCTAGTATAGTCACCCTTTGCATTAATTATATCTTGAATGCGTTCTTCTATGCTTTCAATTAACTTTATTAAAAACGCATTATCAATTTCGATCCAAATTTTATTGTATTGCATCCCAGAGTTGATCTTGAGTATGGATAAATGACGATCTCATTCCAATCAGGTTAAAATCAGGTGATTGGGCAGGTTAATCGAGCAAACGGATGTCATTATCATCAAACCATTCATACGTAGATTTTGTGTGTGTTTCGGATCATTGTCTTGTTGAAAGACAACATCATTTTTATTAATTTCATATCATTGGATTGTTCCTAAAAAGGTCATCATTTAAGATTTTGCAATATAAATTCTTATCCATATGACCATAAATGTATACGATAATTACTAATACTGAAAAATCCAAAACCATTATATTTCCATCACTGCAGGTTTCACGTGATGCTCTTTCAAAGGTTTATCATCATGTTTCCAATAATATTCATGTCCATCTGAATTAAAAATCATAAATTTTGATTCATCCGACCAGATGACTTTGCTCCAATTATTAATAGTCCAATAACAATATTTTTTTGCAAAATTCAAATGTTGAATTTGATGTGTTTTTTTGTGATATCATTTTTTTCACTTAATTCATGAAAGAAAGACCATTATGATGTAAAGTTTGCTTTATTGTGCTTGTGCTGACATCAATTTTATCATAAGTTTTTAATTTTTTTTTGGATAGATGTTGCAGTGGGAAAACTACCATTTGAAATTAGATGTATAATATTTCATTCATCACATCCAGTAAAAATTCTTGGACAACTGGTTTTGGTAAATCTTTAAAGATATTATGAATATCCTTTTTTTTGCTTTATTCTTGCTTTATTCTTGTAATGGAGGATTGGGAAATATTTTCGTGATTTGTATGTAATATAACAGGAAGAATATCCTTCTTTAAGGAGGGTGTAAATTTAGGATCTTTTTTTGACAGGCATATGTGCATAATAATTTCAATTATACAAGATAAAAGAGTGAATTCATAAGTGTATTTTATTTATAGGAGGTGTATTTTGTTTAACTATATATGGACTGAATTTCATTTACCTGTAGTGTTTATATTGCTAAAAATTCCCTGATTCATTTTTTCATCCTAGCGATGCATTACTTTTGTTACATTTATTCTTTAAATTGTATGTACTATTTATTTATGTTTTTAACTATATATGGGTGGCGTTTATATTGCTAAAAATTCCCTGATTCGTTTTTTCATCCTAGTGATGCATTACGCACTCGAAATAACATGCAGGTACTAAAATAACAGGCAGTTGGCGTTATTTCGCAAAATACGGTAAAATATCATATCAATAAGGTTACACAAAAGAATTAAGTTACGGGTAAAATAACGACACTGAATATATATACATATATATATATATGTTCAAAGAAAATTTCAATTCCATTAGAGTTTTTCGAATTAGGTTCGTACTACATATGTATAGCAAAAGCAAAACTCATATACGAATATAAACGATGTCGAATTTGAATTCTTCCAAAATTATATTCTCTCAATTATTGCAAAATGAATGCAACTGCTACCATTAGTGGTAAGAGTAGTTTAATTTCGTCAAATCATGAAAATTCGATACTTGAAAATTTATTTGGATATGTGGGAACAACGTTTTTCTCAATGGAATTACTACCTCAGGGTATTTTAACTTGAACCATTTTTTGTTTATAATAAATTTTTTAAATTCGAATTAATAACGATAAGAATCACTTTTCTTTAAGTCTATAAAAATTGGAAAGGAAAAAACACGAAAGGTAACTGTGTAACAAGCGATCGAATCAACAGAAAAAGTTTATGATTAACGTTAACCCCCGATATTATCTATTCAAAAGGGCTTTCAGCGACAACATTTCTGCTATGGGTAAGCATATAGTAATAATCATGATGTTATTTTTTTAAATAACGATTTTTTTATTTTCATTATCAAGGTAATCTCATCATTTTTATTTGGAACTTACACCATCGGCGTTTCTCTTTCAATTCCAATAATACTACAACCTCAAGTGTCTGGTTTACTGTGTTTGGTATGTCTCATGCAATGTCGTTATTATAGTAGTAATAACTATTATAGATGCGGTCATCAAAAAGATAATGAAGAAGAGATCAATATCGGAGAAAAAATAGTTGAAAGAGAAAATAATGATCAATTTGAACAAAATGAACAAAAGCAAACTTCTACAACTACATCTATATCTGATAATGAAAGGAGGTTAAAATCACGTAACCTTCGGATTAAATGCATCGTTGAATTTTCATTTTGGATAGCATTATTCACGGTAGTTCAAACGGGTGGTGTATTATGGATAAAGGTATAATAAATTAATTGTTGAAGAATTTGATTTCAGTCTTCTTTTTACAACATCAGATTTTATGAAGCATCCATTTTTGTGCTAGAGAGCACATGAAAAAAATATTTCATGGCCTGAAGATACTTTAGTGATTCTTTCAACGGTGCTCACATTTATCGCCTTTTTACCACAATTCTATGTAATCTTTCGCGACAAATGGTTAATGGTATTTCTTTTATTTCCTCCGGTATGGATATGCTTGTAAGTGTTCATTGTTTTATTTATACGGCTTTCTTCACGCTTTAAATAAATGCTGATTTAGTTATTTCAAGGCTTCGCTATTCGAATTACTAAGTTTGGGTATGAATTCACATATTTGTATTCTGAATAATAAACATATATTTTTTTGCTTATTAAATATTTGTATTCTGAAGAATAAAAAAACTTTCTTATTTCTCAAAGTTTAGCATTTGCGCCTCCACCATTCAACGTTCTCGCGTCAGTAGTTTATATTTATGATTTCATGTCGCAATTGTCGATTATTCTGCTGTATTATTTTTTTACATGGTGGAACTCACGTAAAAATAAAGAAGAACAGACTTCATGAACTTTATGTACTCTTACGTGTATATACGTAGATATCAATGATAATAAAAATCATATACTGTTTTTTTATTTTTTTCTTCACTCATGTTTATATGGTTTTGCTCTATGTTTTCGTTAAGTCTCTTTTATTTTTTGTTTTTTCTGAAGTTACATGACGAACACCTATACATGTAATCTAATTGTGATCGTTATTTTTTTGTTTGTTTCGCATGCAAGTTTTTGCTTATGGGTTGATTACATGTACATGTGCATTGTGCGGGTAATACGGAATTGGTAAGTCCCATTTTGCCCATCACTAGTAGGGTATCTTGCATAATGAAGATCATTCAATTTTTTCGCCCAACAAAGATTTTCCCGATATCAACATTTTTTATATCACAGTCAACCGCAAAAGTATCTAACTTTCCATAGATCATATGTAATGCACCAAATTTTTCCGAGCACAACAGATTTGAACAAAAACATGACCATTTGATTCGTCTAGTCGAGACGAATCAAAAAGTATTATTTTTGTTCAAATCAGGTCACTGGACGTCAAAAATTAGATTATTGGATATTGAGATGTGTGTTATGAAATAACTGATTATATTTGGGACCTGAAAATTTATGAATATACAATACCCGATATAGAAGCTCTACCAATCTATAAAAGGCATCATGATCAGAATTTGTAATGTTCTTGTGCTCGGAAAAATTTAGTGCATTGGGGGGGGGGGGGGGTCGGATACTACTGTAATCTTTAATATGTGACAAAAAATAGATCTATCGAATATTTTTATTTTGCTTTGCTGGTATCTTCCACTCTTTCTTTGTCTGTAATCAAGATAGTAGCGTCTGAAGTAATTCCAATAATTTCATATGTAAGCGGTAGAGTTGCTGAATCTGGTCAAATTGATTTCAATGTTATATTCTGTTGAACAAGACTAGTTGATCATACAAGCGCAGACCAACTAAATTCGAGGTTATTATCTTATTATTTCATATTCTTCAAGGGTCATTAATCCTTTAGCAAAAAACTCCTTATTCTTAGCCTTTATGAAAACATTATCAACGTCATCTCTATTAACATAGGTAAGAGTAGATTTATGAGTATGGCATCTTCCAAAAGTTGCTACACGATTTGTAACAAACACAATAATCTCCTTGTACGTTATACCATATAGCATCATCTGTAATTTCCACTATGCAATTATCACAGTCTCGATATATAGGAATAAAATTGTCATCAGTCCAACAATATTTATCTAATCACTGACAGCATTAGTATTCATTCTCGCATACAGCTAACATTTTTAAAATCTTAAGTGTTCCCTCCGCAAGATATTGCTGCTGTTGTTTAACTGATACACTATCAATTCGTTCTTCACCAGGTCTTTATGAAAATAAGCGTCAGTATTTTGGATAGTTATATCAATATCTACTGATACTTACTTTTCTCTCCCGCCTGTTAGTGTATATAACAAACTTCGAATATCAGTCCGGAAGAAAAATAAAACGCTTTTTGATTCTTGGGCGACATGTCCAATTTCTTGAACGAAATTATCTAATGAAATTGGCACAGTAACGTGTATTACAAGTCAAACATCAGCAATATTTATACAGTATTCATTCCGAATGCATTAGTAGCACACATAATTCTGATGGAACTATTTTCAATTATATTCTTTATTGTGTCATCTAAGTATCCATAATAATCAATGATGATGTTACTATAGTTATGTTAGGGTCTTTAATTTCATAATTTTGTGTAGTAGTAGTTTATAACGATAATACATGTTGACATGAGGGATCGACACAGAATGTATTATAAAAATGACGAAAATTTTTCTTTCTTTTTGTCGCGCCTCGATTCTCTCATAACTTGAGCAGGTATTACTAAGATATTTTATTCGCCTGAACATGTAGTTTGCATAAATTATATTCTGCTGCGTGTGTTGAAACTTAGTCCATCTTAAGATAAAACCAGGCGAGTTATGGATTTCTATGACGTATTCAATCTTCGCTTGAAGAAAAAATCGCAAGATCAACGTGTAACGAAAAAATTTCAACAATGTATCTCGAAATTTTGTCTATGAAATCACTTTCTTACAAAAAATATTTATTACGAAATTTACTGCGTGCAACGTATCCTCAACGCCGAGCCTAACTCTTACTAATGGAACTCAAGAAATTGCAAAGCAACTAGCTAAAGTTTACGATCCTGAGCATATCGTAGATATAATTTAGAATTTACATATAAATACCTGCAAAAACTTCTGATAATTTCCCATCTTGGTTTTATACAAAAGTCACTAAAACCAAGAGAAGGAAATCTTGGTCTTGGGACTGCATATGCCCATGGGTTACCGGAAATGTTGTTATTATCATGGACGCCGATTTCTCGCATCATATAATTATCGAATAACTATTATCTCTTGCCATTAAATTTATCCTTTTATCATATTTAATCATAATTTTATACAGCTGGATTTCATAAAGTAAACCATAGAATTTTTATATGCTGTCTGGAACTTTGATTTTTCCGACACAAACTCTCTTAGACTACAGCAAACTATGATCTCGTTACTGGGACGCGTTATGCTGATAATGGTAGAGTTTATGGGTGGGATCTTTGACGTAAGGTGATAAGGTATGTTTAATTGGCTTTTATATTATTATTTGTCTTTTATCGAGTAATTTTTTAATATTAGATCTGTTTTTAGTAACTTTGAACAAGTTTAATTAAAAATCGCGGAACAACTTTTTAGCATCTACATTATTGCGTCTAGGAATATCTGATCTTACTGGAAGTTTCGGTAATTTACTTAGGATAATGTTGTTATTTCTGTTCATTTTACTATTATCATTTGCATTGTCGAGTTAACAAATATGTTTCGTTATTAAGATTATATAAAACACATGTACAGGAGCAATTAATTTTCTCCAGAGGATACGTATTTCAAATGGAGATGATGGTGCAAGCTCAGAACCAAAGATTACAGTTTTCATTGAGATTTTTCGAAATGTTCAAAAGTAAATTAATCCTAGATTCAAAAAATTCATTTTATTTCACAATTAACTCACTCTCAATATAGTAAGTAATCGGGACAAGGAAATCTTATATAACTTTACTAATATCAAGAGCGAGTTTAGCATTGTAGTAAAACAATAATGATCACGCGCAATATGTAGAAATGCTAACGCGAAACAACAAAATAAAATGTAGACACGGTGGTTACTGCATGACCACTGAGAAGAAATAGAAGGTGGTGGACCCAAATTAGAATATGGGTATCAGTATGACAAGCTAGAGTAAGGGTTAATGCTGGGATAAGCTTAGTGCTGGTCAGAAAATTTTAGAGTCGTCTTGCGAAGTCATTTTTCAAGTCACTATTATCGTTATTAATAATATGTAATGTCAATTATTACGACCAGTATCAAGAATGCACAAATTTTTGATTGACCCGACAAAACAAATCCGACTCAAAGAAATGGAAAAAGTGATTTTACGAGAATACTGATGCATAAATATATCTTCCTTGGACCATTAATTAAAAATATTAGGAAGGCAATTTTACATGTAACCTCGTTTTCTCACACAATACCTTTCTTACCCTTATTAATCTAATCGGATATAATGAAAATTCATTATTCAGATTAGGAAATTTGAAATTTGGCTCAGTAAAACTGATCGTTATTATATATCGATATTTTCATAATTACAGATGATCAATTGTTTCTTTCAGTTTTTGCAAAATTTTATTCCCAAGGAATAAAGGAATATCGATGAAATTTCCAAAAAAATTATGTTTTTAGCTTGAGGAAATTTTTATATCATACATTCCTCATAATATCATTACTTAAAAGAGAGCGAACATATTGATATGTTATTTTTGCATAATAATAATAATAATAATAATAATAATAATAATAATAATAATAATAATAATAATAATAATAATAATAATAATAA